CCCCAAAACCCCAAAACCCCAAAACCCCAAAACCCCTTCAGAGTTTACAGCTGTTGAATATTAAAATAATTAAGTAAAAAATGGCAAAAGGAAGAAAAAGCGCCCCATCTGGAGAGCGGTCCTCACTTTTCTCTAAGCAAAGTCATTTTCACCCACGAGAAGTAGGTGCATATAGATTTGTATGGTATGGCTTCTATCTGGTTCATATTTTGGCAGTACTCTTAGGAGTTTTCCTCAGGACAAACTATTATTTCACACATGATAAATATCCAGACAGAAAGGAAGTAACAACTTTTACTCAAATAAAGTTGGTAAATTCATTTATGCTTGTTTGGCCCCTTCTACTCATATTGGGGACTTATCTAACAGCTCCAAGAGATGAAGGAGATAGTCAAAGTGCTAGGACTTACAGAATCGCTTTCAATTTAAATGTGGGAGTTCAAGTGCTTTTGATTTATTTGGTATATTACTCAATCTACTACGCTACAGAAGTAGCAAAAGGAATAGCAGGACAAGAAGTAATTAGTGGACATATTTTCGTTGGTTTCCTCTCATCCAGCTCTTTCCTGAGTACTACTATCTATATCCACCATTTCAGGAAAAATGATAGCCAAGTGCATAAGATCTTCCAGCTATTATGATTCTTGTACTTGCTTCACATGGCATATTCATTTTTCTGGACTGCTTTCATCTACCATCACACTTTTGATTCTCTTTTTGGACTTCTTCTGGGCTCAGTCCTGTCATTCCTGATCCAATGCTCAGATGGATTAAACTATTTCGAGATGAATATCCCTACAATTGTCTATGCTATCAGGTTCATGGCAGGCACAATAAAGCAAGCGATCGCAGAATTTGGAGAATTATATAAGGAAGAAGGAGATTTCAGAGCAAGCATTGTCAAGCCTAGTGATAGAGACATTTTAAGATAACTTTAGCAACTGTTCAATAAGAGTTTAGCCATTGGGGTTTTGGGGTTTTGGGGTTTTGGGGTTTTGGGGTTTTGGGGTTTTGGGGTTTTGGGG